AGTAGGCCAAACTGACCCTCAGCACATAACACAAGGAGCTCAGGACACTATTGGGAGGACAAAGACGAAAGAGGCAGTCTGATCGGCTGTTCACACGGAATCAGAGCGTCCACCTTAGACACCCACGCTTCTTTCTTCACCTTTGCTAACAAGGTTCACTCTTACCTTACCAATTCAAGTCAGTATCATACACTCTACTGACAATGACATAAAAACCCTGAGAAATCGTTTGCCCAGAGTTAAAAATGTATATAGAGCGCAAGTGGTTATGTCAGAAACACAGTGTCACCTGTGGATCATGCAGGCCTGTGGTTTTTACCAGGGAAGTTTCCCTGCCAGCAGATCCAGAGGCCAGAATTAAAGGAATGACCACTATACCTGGGATTCAAAAAGTGCCTTCTGTGGGATGATCCATTACGATTTACATAGGAATAAAATCATGTTCTAGACTGATTGCTATTCGGTATGCCCAATTTGGACAGGAATTTCTACGAATAAATAAATAAATAAATAAATAAATAAATAAATAAATAACCAACCAACCAACCACATGGAGCAGATGAAAACACACAGAGCTGCCCCTGGAGTCATCCTGGAGGAAATAAAGGAGGGAGGATCCGTACCCACTGTTGGAGGTAGTGTGGCTACTATGGAAACCAGTGCAGGGTGCGGGGGGCTTCTCAAAACACAAGCCATAAAACTAACATGAGCCAGCTAAACCATTTCTGGATGTATATGCAAAACCCAGAGATACTTGCATATCCATTGCTAACACTGTTCTAGTCACATTAACAAGGAAATGGACTCAAGCTAGATGAATGGATAATGAAAATGTGGAACATATATACAATGATACCTAGGAAATTATGGATAAACTAGAAAATACTGTATAACAAGATGTAGGCACAGATAAACAGATCCAGACTCCAAGTGTTAAACATGTGTTTCCAGATGGGAGTAAATATGGGTAAAGGCAGGAAACTAGAAAAAAGCCCACGTGAGTAGGGAAAAAAAAAGAGGCTTTAACAGAGTGAAGAATGGGAAAGACAATACAAAGGTGAAAGGTTACATCAGGCAAAGGGGGACAGAGAGGAAGTGGGAGTAAGGAAGGAAGGAGAATCAGCCAAAACAATACAAATATATGGCAATCTATTACTTTTTAAGTTAATTTAAAACTAAATTATTAATATGCTCTATGTCCCGTGCCTAACAACATCTATCTGTTCCTCCTAATCTATTACTCTATACCTAACCTCTGTGGTTCTATGCATTGTAGCTTGGGTATAATGATTTCACAGCTACTACCAGACAAAAGAAAATACAGACCATATTTGTCTTTTTCAGTGTGGGACACCTCACTCAAGATGATTTTTTTCTAATTCCATTCATTTACCCGCAAAACTACTTATTTCATTTTTAAACAGCTGAATAATATTCCATTTGTAAATGTATCACATTTTCTTTATCCATTCTGTTGACAGACATCTAGATTATTTTAAACTTGTGGCTATTATGAATAGAGCAGCAATGAACATGGTATTGGTCATTCTGATGGGTGTAAGACAAAATCTCAAAGTAGCTTTCATTTGTATTTTCCTGGTGAAGGATATTGAACATTTCTTTAAGTGTTTCTCAGCCATTTGAATTTCTACTTTTAACAATTCTATTTAGATCTGTATCCCATTTTCAGCTGGGTTATGTGTTTTCTTCAGATCTTTGTATATATTGATTATTAGCCCTTGCCCTAGCCAGGTCACTACAGCTGCGATGAGACACCTTAACTGAGGAGGAAAGGGTTTATCTGGCTTAGGCTTCCACACCACAGTTCATCATCAATGGAAGTCAGGACAGGAATTCAAGCAGGGGAGGAACCTGGAGGCAGGAGCTGATGAAGAGGTCAAAAATGAGTGTTGCTTACTGGTTTGCTCAGTCCGATTTCTTATAGAACCCAGGTCCACCAGCCCAGGGATGGCACTTCCCAGAATGGGTGAAACCATCCCCCATCAATCACTAATTAAGAAAATGCTTGCCTACAGCTCGATCCTATAGAGGCATTTTCTTAATTGAGGTTCCCTCCTCTCTGCTGACTTTATCTTGTGTCAACTTGACATAAAACTACCCAGTCCTCTATCAGATGTGTAGCTGGTAAACATCTTTTCCCATTCTATATGCTGCTGCTTTATTCCAAAGGACAGTGTTCTTTACAGAGCAGAGGCTGTTCAGATTCATGAGGGCCCATATATTAATTTTTGATCTAGTGCCTGTGCTGATGGAGTTTTGTTCAGAAAGTCTTTTCCTGTCCCATTGAGTCCAAGGCTATTTCTCCACTTTTAATTCTATGAAATTCAATGTATTTGTTTTCATGCTGAAGTCTTTGATCCATTTGGACTTGAGTTTGTGCAGAGTAATAAATCCAGACGGATCCATTTGAATCCTGCTACATGCAGCCACCCAGCTTGACTAGCACCATTTGTTGAAGATGCTGCCCTTATTCCAGTATCTTGACTTCTGTATCAAAATTCAGGTGTCCATATGTGTGTGAATCTAGGTCTTCAAGTCAATTCCATTGATAATGTCTCTTTTTGTGCCAGTACCACGCTGTGTTTATTACTATAGCTCTGCAGTAAAACTTGAAATCAGGGGTGGCAATACCTCCTGCATTTCTTTTGTTATTCAGAATTTTTTTCAGCTCCCCTGGGGTTGGTGTGTGTGTGTGTGTGTGTGTGTGTGTGTGTGTTTCCATATGAAGCTGAAAATTGTCCTTCCAAGATCTGTGAAGAATAGTGCTGGAATTCTGATGTGGACTGTACTGTACCAAATCTTTAGATAGCTTTGGTAGGATGGCCATTTTTATTTTATTAATCCTATTGATCCATGATCACGGGAGATCTTTCCATCTTCTGATATTATCTCCTATCTCTTTCTTCAAAGACTTGCAATTTTTATCATACAAGTCTTTGATTTGCTTCATTAAAGTTATCCCAAGATAGTTTATATTATTTGAGGCTACTGTGAAAGGTGCTGTTTCTTTTATTTCTTTCTCAGACTGCTTGTTATTTGTACTTAGGAAGGTTACTGATTTTTGTGAGTTAATTATGTATCCAGCCACCTTGCTGAAAGTGTTTATCACCTGGAGGGGTTTCCTGGTGTAATTTTTAGGGTCATTTATGTATACTTTAGCATCATCTGCAAATAAAGGTATTTTGCCTCTTCTTTTTTCTATCTCCTTGATCCCCTTCAGTTGCATTAATGTTCTAGCTGACTTCAAGTATTATATCGAATTGGTATGGTGTGTAGACAACCTTACCTTGTCCTTGATTTTAGTGGAATTGCTTCTTAGTTTCTCTCCATTCAAGTTTATGTTGGCTACGAGCTTGCTGTAAACCGCCTTTATCATGTTAAGGCATATCCCTGGTATCCACAATCTCTCCAGAACTTTTATCATGAAGGGGTGTTAGATTTTGTCAAAGGTCTTTTCTTCATCTAATGATGACTATGTGTTTTTTATCTTTCAGTTTCTTTATCCGGTGGATTACATTTATCAATTTCTGTATGTTTAACCATCCCTGTACTTCTGCAATGAAGCCTACTAGGTTACGGCAAACGATCTTTTTGATGTTCTCGGATTCAGTTTGCAAGTACTTTATTGAGTATTTTTGTATCTGTGTTTACAAGGAAAACTGGTTTGTAATTATTTTTCTTCTTTGGGTCTTTATGTGGCTTGAGTATCAGGGTAACTGGCCCCTTAAAAGAATTGGGCAATGCTCCTTCTGTTTCCATGTTGTGGGATGATTTGAGGAGTACTGATATGGAGTCTTCTTAGAAAGTCTGTGCTAAAACCATCTAGTCTGAGGCTTTCTTTGGTTGGGAGCTTTTAATAACTGCTTCTATTTCACTAGGGGTTATAGGTCTGTTTAAATTGCTTGTCTGGTCTTGATTTAACTTTGGCGAGTGGTATGTATTAAGAGAATTAGCCATTTCTTTTAGGTTTTCCAACTTGGTGGGATACAGGTTTTTAAAGTGTGTCCTTAGGGTTCTCCAATATCTGTTGCTATACTCCTCATTTCTAATTTTGTTAACTTGGATAAATGAATACATAACATATTGAAACTTACAAAACACAATGAAGGTGGTTCTAAGAGGCAAACAAATTCATAGCAGTAAGTGCCTACATTAAAAAAAAAATCAGAGAAACCTCATAGTAGTAACTTAACAATACACTTGAGAATTCTATAACAACAAAAATAAATCACACCCAAAAGTAGACAGCAGGAAATAATCAAACTCAGGGCTGAAATCAGTAAAACAGAAACAACCAGAAAACCAAAAACATAACCAAAAACAAATACAAAGAGTTAGTAAAGCATACAGTTGGGTTTTTGAGAAAAAATAGTAAGGCTGACAAACCCTTATCAAAATTAACTACAAGCTACTTATAAGAGATGTACTTTTAACTTTAACCCTTTGAAAGTAAGAACACTGATAAATACAAAAAGAAAAAAAAAAAGAACACTGTGTGTGTGTACCTCTGAGTGTCATCACACCAGTACTTTTGACACAGGCTCTAGATATGAAAATCAGATCCTTTACTGACTGAGATTTCTCCCTAGCCAGAATATTAGTTTTCAAGTCAGGTGTGACTCTATTAATATCAAACCAACAAGATTTCAAGGTAAAGAAAATTATTCCCAAGACCTAGAGAAAAAAGGACTACTTCATAATGCTAAAAGAAGCGACTCAAACAACCAAACATAAATGTTAACATATTTAAATTACATGATGTAAACACTAACTAAGAGGAAATCCCTTATCATTCTGAGGACGTACAACACACAGCTGGAATTGGCGGGGTGGAGGGATTATAAAACTGAGAACAGGAGTAAAAGCTCCAGTTGACGTAAGCGGGAAGGAGCGCCACAGCTTGATGGCAGGTTCCACGGCCCAGAGGAGTAAACACAGCAGGGTGAGTTCTGTCTTTACACTCTGCGGGATTGTCTTACCAGCATCACTGTTAAGTTCATGATTCTCCCAAGGTTATCAATGTAGTAGACACTGTCTTGATACCAGGCATCACAGTGCAGATAATTATACATTCCAAAAGCGTGCATGTGCTCCAGTGTATACTGGTCATCCCGAAGTTTCACTTCTGCCACAGCTGAAAGACAATAGAAATAAATACACACATATGTTTACAAATATCTATGAACACAATCATCAAAACATACACATCAAAGCATTCCTTTGTGGAGAATGCCCACAGGGCATAGAAATTAGGCAGTGCCATCTACGGAGGCTAGAACATGCAGGACTTTCAAGGTACAATCTTCTTCCTTAATGGACCTCTACAATTTTGAATTACAAGAACAGAAATTCTAAAAACAAAGGACTTCTAATCTATGAGCAAACAAGAACGGCTTATCAGTTCTTACTCCAGTGCATTATTCATCTTTATCACACAAACAGAGATAAAGACAAACTGTACTATGTGATTATACAGTTAGAAAACTATGTGTAAACACAAATAGTGACTTCATCATAGTCTATCTTGACTATCTTCATAGTCTATTTGTATAGAATAAAAAGAATAAAACAATATCACAGTTACTACATACACAGGTTTTCTATGTATAGAACAGGGCTCTCTGAACTAAAACATTAGCTGTTTTCCTAACTTTGAATTGGCCAAATACAGTTTCTCCCCCACACCCCTGTGGTTCTGTGCAGGTAAGAACTCTTGCAGCTCAAGACTACTCATGCCCTACAACTAATTTCTGCTGTAACAAGAAATACTAAGTAAACTGTACTAAACCTAAATGTTCCCTTCATATAAAATTCACTTTAACTCTATTCTAATTCCAACTAGTTTCTTCTTTACCCACTGTTTTGGTTTGCTTTTTGTTGCTGTGGTAAACACCATAACTAAAAGCAACCACAGAGAGGAAGCGGTTAATTCCAGCTTTGACGTCATGTCACAGTTCGTCACAGAGGGAAGTCAGGGCAGGAACTCGAGCAGGATGACGTAGAGACCAGGAAGAGCTGTTGTTGCTTACTGCCTGGCTTCCTCTGACTTGTGCTCAGCCAGCTTTCTTATACTTACCCTGTATACCATCTGCCCAGAGGTGGCACTGTCTACAGTGGGCTGGACCTTCCTACATCAATCAACAATGAAGACAATTCCTCACACACAGGGCCAAAGGCCAATCTGATCTAGGCAATACCTCAATTGAGACTCCCTCTTCCGCATAACTCTTAATTGTGTCTAGGTGACAATAAAAACCATCCATGACATCATACCACTTTCTCTTTTCTTTTCCATTTGATTTTGTATGTGTGTTTGTCTGCAAGAATGTATATGCACCACTTGCATGCCTGGTGCCTGTGGGGGGCAGCAAAGGCATCCAATTCTTTGGACTGGGGTTACAGATGCTTATGAGTCACCATTTAGGTCCTAGACACTAAACCCTCTGCAAAAACAAAACAAGTTCTTACTTGCGGAGCCATCTCTCCAGCCCCACTTTTCCTATCTTCAATGCCTGCACTGAGTCCTAGCTTACATATTTATTAATTTATTTATTAGCAAGTCATTTAATAAGCACCAATGACATCAGTGATACACAAAGAGAACATACTCTACCTTCTAAGAACTTAGGATCTGGTAAGTAAAAAAATAATGGGCCAGGTGCACACCTTTAATACCAGCACTCGGGAGGCAGAGGCACATGGATCCCTGTGATTTAGAGGCCAGCAAGTTCCAAGCTAGCTAGGGCTATGCAGTGAGAGACAGTGTTTCAAATAATAATAATAATAATAATAATAACCCCACCCCAAACAAAACAAAAGAGCACTAATCAAATAATCAAATGTTGTATAACAAATTTTATATAATTAAACCATTATATAGGAATACAAATACCACAAGGATATTAAAAAAGAATTGACTGCTGTAGAATAATACCTTTATATACTGTGAAGATTTTTCACTATGACTGGTTTAATAAACAAGCTGACTGGCCAGCAGTTGAACAGAATAAGGTTAGACAGGAGAGCCAGAGTAGGAGAATGCTGGGAGAGGGCAGAGTCAGGAGATGCCAGCCAGCTACCAAGCAGGTGGAACGTGTAGAAAATGAGGTAACAAGCCTTAGCCACACAGCAAAGCATAAATAGAAATATGGATTAATTTAAGTAAGAGCTAGCTGGTAACAATCCTGAGCTATTGGCCGAGCATTTATAATTCATATTCAGCTCTGAGTCAGTTATTTGGGACTGGGTGGTCAGGATAGGAAACTTCCGCTTACATATGGCATTCCACATGCAGCCAAAATTTCCACATAAAACCTGACAAAGTTTAAAAAAGTATGCTAGACACACAAGAACAGAGCCTTTTCTTTAGTGGGCTCTGTTTGCTGGCAGTAAGCAGAGGCACAGCTCCTTTAAGAGATGACTTCCTGGCTCAGTGCTAGCCACAAGAATGTGGTGGCTCTTTAAGAGACCCTACTACCAAACACTTACATGGTGTTTATGAGTAGCCACTGGCACACTACTGGAGTTGGAACAATAAACGTTCCTCCGCCATGAGACCAGGCTCTCAGGAACAGAGGGAGAAGATGCAGCTGGAGAATGAGGACAACAATTAGATTTCTATAATCCAATGTGACTTCATCTTCATTTCTTCCTTTATAAACTCACTGTAAGGATCCACTGGTTTCTAAACAGGAGGGGGAAGTTCAGATTTGGGTTCCTGAGACAGTACTTAATGCAGCAGACAGAGAAGGGGCAAAATCACTAGCAAGCTACTAAGGTCATCCAAGTCACATCCAACTCACATCCAGGAGGATGACTGAAGCCTGGAAACACTTCAACCTCACAGGCAAACTCTTAAGCTTACAGAACATTGATGAGGGGTTGTGGAAATGTCCCCTTTAGTATAAGGAAGTATTATTTTTATAAGGAACAGTTAGAAATATATACGCTATTAAATAAGAGTGAGTTGGTTTTCTAGCACCACCATGTGGATGAAACTTAATAATGCAGGAAGCGTGTATGAACATAATAGCCCAAAGCAGTAACGATATTAGACAATAATAAGCTAAGTATGTTCTGCCATATTTGGATAAAGAGTCCTGAGTAACCTTAAACAAACCAAAAGTTTTTAACTTTTTGCCTCATTGTAACACCACCCACAAACATAGATCTGGATTTGATTGACAGATTTTTATAAGATATTCACATAGCTTTAGAATACAAAAGCCAGCAGTGGGTTTCTAACTTGATGACTATTTTATAAATCTGTTTGTTAGGTCACAGAAAAAGGCCGCCTCTCTGGCTCTAAACGAGCAATGAAGATTGTCACTGCAGTTCTCATGCCAATCATCTTAAATACAAGGAGGGGGTGCAGAGCACCACAAAGGAGGAAGCAGAGTTCAGTCCATGGCAGAACTTAGGCACCAGAAGAACTCTTCCAGAAAGCCTGCCCATCCCATGGACTAGCGGAGGGCCCAGGCTAGACCTAATCTTTCTTGGATCTTTGAAACTGGTGAAGACCAGTTTTACAGAGAAGCTGAAAGTCAGTGTTTTAGTATTTAATGTTACTATGCATTATAATTAAGCATTACTAAAAAAGTCATTATTTTGGAAAGAACTCAGGATTCAAGAAGGAGATCTCCCCTAAACCTTTACAACTCCTGTCCCAACAGACCCTCAAAAGCCACTGTGGTTATACACTGACTATCTGCTACAGGCCAGGCGCTGACTGCTTCTGGCCTTGGGCACACACTGGAGAAAGTCGACTTCACTCCTGCAGTAAAGGTGTTAACAATGCGACTCGCTACTGCTCCTGACCTCTGGGAATATACTATTCTGCTGAACCCATGAAATCCCCTGCATTTAACTCTTGGCCAATGAAGTATGAAACAATCTCCTATGTTTATGAGTGTACTAGTTTACAATAGGGAGCACAAGGAACACTGTTTGCAAAGTTGACTTTGAGACCGTGAGCACCGTAACTTTTCCTTTACGTTGTGACAAAAACGAGCAACTAACACAGTCCCCCTGCACTTCTCAAACTTCTTTACAGAGCTGGTCCTCTTCAATTGCACACACCCTTAGCAGCCATTCCCAACTGTTTCCCATTCAAATGCTCCACAGAAATCATTGGTTTCACTTAAAATACATCTTGAACAATATTTATTTCCAACCAAGGCATGATAACAGAACCTAGTTTCTTTTTCATCAAAACAACCAGTAAGATAAATCCGACAAAACTACATGAAACAACAGTTTCCAGCTAAGGATCGCAATCCTTGAGATACCAGACACACAGAAGGGCAGCCTACCATGCCCCATCTTACAGTCCTGAAAAGTTTCCAGAGCATAGGACAAGCTGCCTAAGATAGAAGACACTGCCCTGAGATTCTAAGAAAGCCTAAGGGGCCATGGTTCCTTGGGCAGAGCAGCAACTAAAGGAAGAGCACAAGACACAATCCTGGAGACGGACACAAGGTCTCCCGCAAGCACTCAGCACGGCAGAAGCTGCATGAGTCGATGAAAGTAACAGCCACAGTAAGAGACACAGCAGGGATTAGAGGAACAGTGCTGGACCTCACACAAGGCTGGAAATGACTAACACCAGCAGGGAGAATGGGAAAGGTGCTAATCAAGGAATACTGGGAGGAACACTAAGAAGGTCTTGTTTCAGCACTAAGGACAGTTTGTCCTACCCTGACCACTATTCCCTACCAGTGTAGCGATAAAAACAAGGCCCACTGGTCTTAATGTTTCCAAGTAACTGAAGCATAGCCTAGAGAAAAAAAACTAAGAAGACTGTAAGATTGCAAAAATGTTCTACATCCACATAACCAACAAATGTAATACAACGTCGTCTTCTTAATCAACTCAGAAAAGGCACTAGACTAAGTTCATAATATCTTCATGACAAAAGTCCTAGAGAAATTAGGACTACACCTCAAAATAAGTAACAAGCCCATGACCAACCTTATACGTTAAATGGGAATAAAAATTGAGAGTATTTCTTCTAGAACTAATATGAGACAAGAGTACCCACTTTTTCCATCTTGTTTAATACGGCGTTTGAAGTGTGAAGTAGAGCAATAGAAACTAGATCCTTGCACATCCATGTGTGCTCTGCTCTGTTCACAATAGCTAGGAAGCAGAATCAATCTAGATGTTCAATAAAGAAACAAATAAAGTAAACTTATCACTCTGGATCTAGACCCTCTGCTAGGGCCTTCCAACAGTGACTCTTGATTTGATCATTTAATTTGCTTTGGCCAATAGGACAAGTAGAAACTTGTCAAAAGCACACTGAAACCAGCACTTGTATGCTGTGACCTACCTCCTGCAAAAGGCCTCGGCTGGCCTGCAGAAAGGATGACCAACCACGTGGGGGCTCAAGTTAAGATTACATGACAATTTCTGAAACAAGGGACTAGCCAGCAGAGTCTCCTTGCACCAAGATGACCAGAACTGCCGCTGCCAACGCATCCCTGAGCAAAGATGCATGAATGAACCCTGTCCATTTGAGAGCAACCATACCTATTCTTTTCTGAGCCAAAAGGCTTTGTGCCTTTAGGTTTTGTTTCCAATGAATTAGCTGACTGAACATAGCAGTATCTGTTACTAGCATGGAGACAAAAACACCAAACGCCCAAGAGGAAGAGGAAAAGAAAGGAAGTTCCTCTTTGCTGTTGCCCAACAGCTACACTCAACTCAGTTCTCCAGGATGCTTTCCCAGATATACCATTGCATGCTCACTTCCTAGCCCTGCTTTTCCAGATTGTATCAGATGCTTCTTAAACAGATTATGATTTGTCAGCTACTTATGAACTGTTTCCTACCAATCATGACCATCACAGTATAACAGAAAACAGACCCACAACGATTACTTCTAAATTGAATAAACTAATTAAAAAACAGGCATTTGTTGGCCTGCATGGGGGCATGGGAGAGTATGCCTTTAAATCCCAGCACTCGGGAAGCAGAGGAAGCTGGGTATCTGTGAGTTCGGGGCCAGCCCAGTCTACAAAGTAAGTGCCAAGCAGCCAAGGCTACAGAGTCACTCTCTAAACAAATGAAGGAACAAATATCAACATTTGCTCGATTTTTAAACGTCTACTAATACTTCTGGATCAGTATTTCTCCAAGTGTAACCCTCGGGAAACATGTATCAGAATCAGAACTTCCACTTAAAAACACAAAAAAAAATCCCTGAGCATTTTCGTTAATAAAATTGCAGTTCTTTTTGTTTGTTTGTTTTTGTTTTGTTTTTCGAGAAAGGATTTCTTGTGGCTTTGGAGCCTGTCCTGGAACTAGCTCTTGTAGACCAGGCCTGCCTCTGCCTCCCGAGTGCTGGGATGAAAGGCGTGCACCACCACCGCCCGTCAAAATTGCAGTTCTTAACCAACGTTGTAGAAAGACGTTTGAGCTGGGCGGTGGTGACGCACGCCATTAATCCTCGCACTCGGGAGGCAGAGGCAGGCGGATCGCTGTGAGTTCGAGACCAGCCTGGTCTACAGAACAAGTTGTAGGACTGACTCTATAGTTACTAGGAAACACCGTCTCGAAAACACAAAAGAGAGAGAGAGAAATTTGAGAATAGCCTCTGGCCAGTTACAAATGAAGTAAGTAGCAGCAGTATGCAGTACTAAGCGCACTAAATTTCTTTCCCTTAATAACTTGTAGGGTCGTTATGTGTGTATCGGGACCTGGGTACTTGAAACGGCTAACTAAGTGTGGGAAAAAAAATTCTCCAAAGAAATGATTCTGCGTCAGAAGAAAAAGGGAGCTGGGGATTTTCCAAGGAGGCGTGGCTTCCTGGTGAACACGTTTACAAAAAGGTGCTTGGGGAAGGAAAGGCAACCTCCAGCGCAGCGGGGGCCGGGGATGCGGGGAACCTCCGGGCTCGGCTGCGGGTGCCAGTCAGGGCCCACGGTCCCGAGGCTCGGACGCGGAGCAAGGGGGTCCCCCGGGTCCCCGCGTGGGTACCGCTCTCCGGGGACGGCCGCTCTAGGTGCAGCCCCGCAGGGCGCATTCAGGGAAAGGCCACCACGCCTGGCCAGCCAGAGTGACAGAGGGTCGCGCCGATGGCAGCCTAAACGAAAAGGAACCGCGTGCGAAAGGGCGCCGCCGATCCCACCTGCATCAAGCTCCAGTTGGTAGCAGGGCAGCGGCTCGAGAGACAGCTTGTAGCCCTCGAAGCGGGGATCCAGTAAGGGTCGCTTCACCCGCAGGGAGCAATTGGCTGCCTCCATGGCGTTCCGGGAGCCCAGCGAGAGAATCAATAAAGCTCTTGTTGAAAGGTCCGCGCTTCGCTCCTGGAACTGAGGGTTGGAAGCGGCGTGGTTCCCATCCCAGAGGACTCTGCGGCGCCCAGTCTCTTCTGGGAAATGTAGTATCCATGAGAAAGTTGGCTCATGTTGCATCCTGGGAAGTGTAGTTCACCCAGGACTAACGCCCGCCCGCTAAGCTGGCTCTAGACTTCCCTACCCAGAAGGCTAAGCGACCAGAAGGCGGCCCGCGCTAGTTGAATTCTCACATTATAGGCAGGGTGGCCAGATCCCGCCCCGGAAATGCGTGGTCTAGCTTTCTGTGTGCTTAGGTGCCCGAGCTACTGAGGGTCTAAGTCCGGGCAGCCGAAGAGTGTGGTAGGTAACGGTCGTCAGCGCAAGGGTCATTTCGTCGCTGGGAAGGGACGGCCCTCGCCCGCGGTGATGGTGGTGAGCTATGCCCGTGGTCCTCAGGGCCGGGACCCGGGCCCAGCCCAGGCTCCTTTCGATGTGCTGTCTTCTCGTTAGCTTCCCCGACCCGCGCTCGCGGGCCTGTAGGGCTCTCCGACAGGGCGTGCTGCTGGAGTTGGCCCGGAGCCAGACCTCGCTTTGTTTTCTGGCTCCTCCCCTCCCGCCTCTCCAGCTGTCTCGGCCGGGGTGCCTTTTCCCCAAGAATGTCAGAGCGGGGAGGGGTTCCCTAGCGCCCTTGTTTTACCAGTGAGAAAACTGAGGCCCTTGGAAAGTAAGTGACTTGGCCAAGGTCACCAGCCGTGATTTCTTTAGGGGCCAAGACGAGGTGAAGTTTCGCTGTGCTCGGTGTGGGTCTGAGTGAACTTTGCAGGTATTTTGAAAAGGTTAAGCGCCAGCCACAGGAGTAGAACATTCCCTAGTTATTAACCCTCTGCTCTCCTGCTCCTTGTCCAATCCGACTCTGAAAATTCTGTCAGTCCGAGTTTTCATATAGACGAGGTGGGCCAGTAGTCCCAAGTTAGTGACATTAAGTAGGAAAACATTAACTTAGTTTTGATTTTATTTAAACCTTGAAAAGGGCAAAAATGCCCTCAAAACTTAACCTTGCTTTTTTTTTTTAATGAAAATGGAGAATTTTCTCAATTAAGGACTAGTTTGAGATTTGTTTTCTCTGATCATGCCGTCCAGAAATAAGTGTGTTTGTGGGCACAGGTACCCACAGTTAGGGTGGCAGTTGTAATTCTCAGTAAATTTTAGTGAATACTAAAGCACACAGAGTCCTATTTCATTCTTCACGATAGTATCTCTTATTGGCGTGCATACTGTATGCCTGTCCCCAAATTTGAATGCGGTTAAGATGCAGAAATAAGCAGTAGTTAGTTATTAATCTGCAGTTAAGTGAGGTGTTTGGGGCTCCTGGTGGCCCATCACCATTTTCTGTTTCTGTGCCTCAGTGTTCTCATCTGTAAAATAAAGTCGTGTTCACAGAGCGAGTGTGGGAGTTCAGGATGCTCAGTACGAGGTAGTAAGTGCTTGATAATGTTATAATAGTAGTTGTTCCCTCATCTCGTGAATAACGAGCATAGACGGGAAGGGGTAGCGTAGCGAAGATGAACTAAGAACAATGATGCCATGTCATATCCTTGAAGTTCTCATCCTCTCCTTGCTAGACTGGTGACTGTCTTGTTAGGATGATTGTCTAGAGAGGACTTAGCAGGAAACGGTTCTCTAAATGTGATGTGTCTCACACTGCGTGTTGCTGTCCAGGTTAGCAAGATGAACAAAGATGCGCAGATGAGAGCAGCGATTAACCAAAAGTTAATAGAAACTGGAGAAAGAGAACGGTGAGTAGTCAACTGGGTTCACAAGTCAGGTTTTCCCGTCCTTAATGGCTACGTGTGAATGGAAGAATTTCTAGTGTCAAGGGACAAAACCTATCTGGGAAGAATTACAGAAAAGGAAAGATTACCAAAGTTTCAGTTCTTAACACCTATAATAGTCGGAATAGAGTCACATACAAAGCTAAGCAGTAAACGGCACTGCTGAAGCACGTCTCACACAACGGAGAAGAGAGCACGGACACCGCCGGGGAGTATTACCTCATGCTCTTAGCTCTGCACAGCACTGGGCTGTTACCCTTTGCTGAAGTGCTTTTTTCCTCTTCTATTCAGTTACTTACCTTCAAATTCTAGCTCTTGTATCCACTATGCATTCCATTAGATTCTCACTGTAATCCAGGTTCCATGAGAGAAATACCTTTGTATACCCATTATATAACGTTATACTTAAAACCTTATTTAAGGAGCAAATGTTTAAAGAAATATAAAAAGGCTCCCAGCGCAGAGTAATAATTTACAAAAGGAAGCCAGGTAGTGGTAGTACACGCCTTTAATCCCAGCAGTTGGGAGGCAGAGACAGGCGGATCTCTGAATTCAAGGCCAGCCTGGACTACAAGAGCTAGTTCCCGGACAGTTAGGGCTGTTACACAGAGAAACCACGTCTCAAAAAACAAAGAAAAAGAAAGAAAGAAATTTACAAAAGGAATGTGTGTATACAGGAACAGAGGGACTTCTCCCATTTTACCTGAAGGTGGTTGGGTAAATTGGAATAATAAAAGCCGGATGGTGGTGGTGCACGCCTTTAATCTCAGCACTTGGAGCAGGTGAACCTCTGTGAGTTCAAGGCCAGCCTGGTCTACTAGAACTAGTTCCAGGACTGGCTCTAAAAGCTACAGAGGGAAAAAAAAGATTTTCACATAGGGTAGAAGAATCAGCAGTTCTCTAGGTCAGAAAGGGAAAAGATGGTCTGGGCTTGTGGAGCAGGAGGCGCATTCAGAGCTTTGGTACCTGCTAAGTGTTCGGGAACTGCAGGATATAGAATGTGGAGAGAGAGAGAGCTTGTGACTGGAGCAGGGTGCAGAAGTGTGGGATTTCGTGTAAGAATTCTGTTCTTTGAGAACATACTGAGTTGTACAAGTGTTTAACCAGTGCCGTATTTAAGTCCATGTAATGAAAGCATTGACGATCTGCAGATACTCTTTACATCACTGCGCCCGGGCCCTTAGAAACTGTTGCACACTGTGTCTTTTCCTCCCTCGGCCTCCTTTCCTCTGCAGCAGGCCCTACACACAGGTGGCAGAGGTTAGCAGTTCAAAGTTTACACCCTACCTGCAAAGAGCCTCGCTTGGTTACCATCTTGCTGAGGTAATAGGCAAGTTATGATCAGCCATGCCCGGGTCATATTTCAAATTACAAGAATCTAATAAATAAATAAATAAGAAAGAATCTTCTCCAGATTTGTATGGGGAGAGTGACTTAGTAGAGCTGTTTGCTTGTGTTTCTGTTACAGAGCAGAAAACTGAGTTTGCACAAGCATATGTTGCTGTCTTTGTCCTTAGATGATGGGAATTTTTGGAAAGGAAGTGACTAAGTTACATTGTCCTTGTAGGGATATTATTTTGGCAGTGTGAATGTAGATTTGAAGGGGCTAAGATAGACGGTAGGAAAATTAGTTAGAAAGGTGATTGGGGTGAAGGTGAAAAGAAGCAGCCATTGGAAAGGAGGATATAGCCGTGTACTTTTTCCAAATGAGGGGTAAAGCAGACACCCATATGAACAGATATCAGATGCTGTGCTGGGTGCGTGCAGACAGCATTGGTAGCAATGTGTGTGGAGAATTACTGTTCTCTTTCTTATTCATGCACTGCTGCCATGCACCGTTATCTGCTTAGTGCCCAGGATACAGTAGTAAAGTGTACTTTCATGGGGTTTATGCGTTACTGGAGGAAACACATCATAACTGTGTGATATGTCACACAGTGATGAGTATTGGGGAAAGAATAAAGCCAGGGGATATGCAGGGAGGCTGATGTTTTAGACAGAAAAAGTAAAATATCTCTAATTTTAAAGAAGAGATCAGACGAGTATGAAGGAATCGGGGGAGCTCAGAGAGTCACAGCCCTAAGATAAACTTGTCTCCTAATCACATCCTAGCTGTGGAATAAAGTGGGTGAAGGGAGAGGAGATAGACTCAGAAGCGTAACTGAGGAGAAGGCAGAGCGTTTGGTCTGTAGTAGAATCTTTGACTTTTACCCTGATAAATTGGGAAGGCACTGGGAGATTTTGAGGAGAATGTTGTAATCAAGGGAGCAGGCGGGGAGGTGATGTAGGAAGTTAGGTGTTAGTCCAGGTAAAAAAGATGGTGGCTAGAACTAGGGTACTCTTGTCAGAGAAACATTTAAATTCTAGGTAAATATTTTAAAACTGAAACTTCAGGATTTACTCATACATTGCTTGCATAGTGAGTTGAAGGATGCTCCCAAGTGTCCAGAAGAATGACATTGACATTTTGAGAAGAAGGGGGAAAAGTGAAGTTGTGTTTTGGCTTTCGAAAGCCCTACTCAGGCATCAAGGTTGATATGTCACATGGTCAGTCTCTGGGGCTATTGAAAGACTGGTGGTCTGCAGGGAAAGAGAGTGTTTAGTTTAAGAGAAGAAAATCCTGCTAATTATAGTACAATAGCCGTGCCAGTTGCTGAAGTGTGGGAATCGGGAGAGATATGTGGCAGGCCTAGACTGTAGTCAGTGAATGGGGAATGGGGACAGATGTGGGGCAGGCCTAGACTGTAGTCAGTGAATGGGGACAGACGTGGGGCAGGCTAAGACTGTAGTCAGTGAATGGGGACAGACGCGGGGCAGGCCTAGACTGTAGTCAGTGAATGGGGACAGACGTGGGGCAGGCTAAGACTGTAGTCAGTGAATGGGGACAGACGCGGGGCAGGCCTAGACTGTAGTCAGTGAATGGATTTGAAACCTGACGATAAGCGATGCCGGGCACTGGCTTGTGTGACGTCTGAAAACTAAGCAGTGACTCGGGATTTTACCCTAGGTAAGCCTGGGGACAGAAAGCAGGGGATTTTAGTTGCACAGTTTGTACTGGTACATTGCTTCAGACATTGCTATTTAAAGTATCTTGCTACGATTGATTTGAAAACATTTCCTTTTAAAACAGCCTCAAAGAGTTGCTGCGAGCTAAATTAATCGAGTGCGGCTGGAAGGATCAGTTGAAGGCACACTGTAAAGGTAATCAGCTTCACTTAGACATGCATGGCTGTTGTCGGAAGTGGGTTGGTCTGGGAGTCATTACAGTAAAGCATGGTTCATATCTTACAGTGTCAATCCTCAGTCATCATTTTAAGCAGATAGGAATATGAGTCTTATGG